ATGGTTTCAATTCAATTTTTAGGTAGTTCAAATGTGAAACATTAGTTAACATAGAGGTATATTAAGCTTACAAAAGAGCTGTTTATAGTGACGAAGCCATAAAAAAGATATTGGAGCTTAGGTGGGATCTTTTTCCATATCCACCATCCAGTCCTGACCTTGTTCATCATCTGACTACTTTTTGTTTTGATATTTACAAAACTTCTTGAATGGTAAACAATTCAATGATTATGATGGTGCCAAATTGTATCTGATTCAGTATTTTTGCTAATATCAGAACTTTGTTTGAGCCAAACCAAACTGAAATTTTGATGCTGCTTCAAAGATAATTAAAAGTCTTTCCCTAAAAAGTTATTCAGTTTCATGAGAAAAATTGATTTTCTAACAAAAATGTCAACTTAATATATCAACTACGTATGGAGATCAAACACAATATTTTAATAATATTATAATCTAATATTATAATAATATCAACATAAAAATACGAATTAATTAATTAAGCAGTTTGTTAAGTTTGTATGCTAATTAATTTGTGCATTTTTGCAACTGAGGAAAGGTTAAGGTAGGACTCGAAACGTATGGAGGTCTATTAAGGATTTTTTAATTACACAATTAGTTTTTTTTTGTAATATCTAAAATTTAATAGCTGTTTCATACCATTTGAAAAATTAATGCACTTGTTTATGAACAAAATCTATATGCATTCAATACAAGCTCTGTTTTTGCGTCGGTTGTCTTGTCTCGAAAAATGATTAAAAGTTATCACAAACATAGTGACCAAATTCAAACTTTTTAATTCTTTATATTTCTTTAATTTCGATATAGTGGTGGATAAGAAGAAAAGCAGAATAAAATTTCTACATATAGTTAAACTTCAATATAGATCCAAAACTTTAAATTTTTTAAACTTCAAGAATTTCTTTTATTAAATTTACAGCCAATGAATGATATGATATCACAAATCGGTTCCCTAATTAACATTAAATGATTTTGATATCACATACATTATCAATTTACTTATTCAATATCGTGAAAATGATATCAAATGAATTTAGTTTAAAATAATGTAATTTGAAACACTATATCTTTTAGTTCATTCATGAGATTATTAGTGTAACTATTATCTCATAAATTGTTTCTTTCTTTTCTGCTATAGTTTGAAATCTTTGATGAATTACGTGATAAGATTTCTTTATTAATTATCTATAATTTGCATTCTGTAAAAAGTGAAAAAAGTGAAAAAAAGAAATACGAAATACTTACAACCTTCTATTAATTACGTCTATAAATTTACAATCTATAAATAATTAATTCACGAAAGAAATTGCATACATAAATAATGAGGCGTCTTGAATATAAATGTCAAGATAATAATGCATACAAAAATTTAAATCTATCATTAGTAACTATTATAATTAATATTGCATACAGTTTAAAAACAAGTTTGAAGATTATATTATGCGAACAAAATTTATATGAAATTACTTTAATTTCAAACTGCACTATAGATTGCAATTTGCAAAAAATCTCTACATATTAAAAAAATATTTTTCAATGAATATATTTTATACAGAAACTTTTATATACACATAACAAATTTATAAAGATATTAAATATTTTTAATTTCACTACTATATAGCATTCTTTCAATATAAATTAATGTTTGAACCAACCAGCTTATTTCATACAAGATTTTTTTATAAAAGTAATAGAGAATAATACCTTTATACGTGTTTTTTAACAATTATGAAGACTTCTTGTGGAAAATAGTATGTAGATTATTTGCAACTTTTTCTAAATAATGTGACATCAAGGTCGATAATTATTAAAAACTCAGCAAGTAAACATTTTATTTCCTGATTCAACAAAATTACAATAAAGATGTCAAATTGTAGGATATGGATAATATACATACATGTATGCAAAAAATTTTTAAATTTTGTTAAAAACTTTTTATACTTGATATGTTCAAATTTTCTGATTACGTAATTATTTTTTATTACTGAGGTTTGAATAACTTAAATCCAACTTGCAAAAACTGAATACTAGTATATACTACTTATTTTATTTTATTGGCTTTCGATTATACATCATTTGGCCATTTATCACATTTTATAATTTAATATTAGTTACGAAAATTTAAAAAAGATTGGATTATGAGAATAGGGCTTAAATGGGTCTCTATGTTGGATAATTATGGTCAAAATATTCAGAATTAAATATTATTTAATCAACTGATATTTTTTAAAATATTTTTTGAACTTTAAGTTGTATGGTTTGGTTTTTCCTTATAAAAGGCCGTAATTGTTTAAATTGGAAAAGTAATTTACCTTTTTTGTTTCGAGAAATTGGTCTCTAATTATATCAAATATGTATGTGTTATTGTGTTTTTTATATTTTTGCACTTATTACAAAAATAATTATTTCATGCAAATGTTAATACAGTTATTGCATCAACTTACTAGATCAGACAGGTAATTAAATAAACTATCAGAAATGCTAATCTAAAATCTTTAATAAGGTTTGAGTAATGTGCATTATTATTGCTGGTTAATAATCTATAATTTCTTCCGCATTTACTACATCAGATTATGTATTTATTGAAAGATCAGGAGCAGATACGCTTCAGTTGATGAAGGTAGAGGTAGCAGAAAATAACTTCTTTAATTGCTTAATCACAATACCATTTCAGATGTTTACCATTTCCTGTAATGCTATTTACATCAAATTAAATGTAAAAAGTGTAAATTTTACATTCTGGTTGGTTTTTATGTAATTTCTTGCGCATATGTTATAGTAATAATTCATCCGTAAACTATTTTGCATTATTTATCTTGTCATATCATTTATTAATAATTATTTATTACATTTGTTACTAGCTAATTATTCTTACGTAGAAATTACATTATAAATAGTTTGTATTGTAATGTTTATAATAAACTAGCGAAAATGGTTAGAATTTTCATATTTTACATTCTGGTCATACTGAATGGAAAATTTTACTACTTAATACTTATTGAGTCGGCCAATGAGTAGCAGTATGTTTTTACATGTAATTTTTTTCCTATAATCAAATAAATTACTAACTAGGTATAAGTGGCATTTTGCCCTAACGCGAGTTGCACGAACTTCCCGAAATGTGTAAATAATCAATTTAATCAATAAATATTTAATTTTTACTGATCTACCATTCTAACAGCCGTTAGAATGAACAAGCAGCCTCTATTTGTTTATTTGTTCAAGTGACTACCTCTATAAGTATCTACCTTTCCAAGTTGTCAACTTCTCTACTATTCTAATTGTCTTCCTATCCTATAGTTTACTTGTATACTTTTCTACCTTTTATCTGTCTACCTGTCTAGTTGTTTACATTTTTATCTTTCTCAGGTCTACCTGCCTATCTATCTTCTTATTCGTCTGCTTGTCTTCCCGTTACCTGTTCACGTATCTACCTGTCCACCTGTCTTCCTGTCATATGTGTATCAATATTTCTACATGTATAATGTATGAATCAAAAATAATCATTAAATATGATTTAATTTAATTTGTAAATTGATGTGACCCGAATTGTTATAAAATTATCTATTTTTTCTCCACCAGATTCAGTCCATATATGTCCAATGCAAATAATAATAATTCATTATTAATAATAATAATAATTATACAAAGTCTTATTTTTGTAGTCAATTTGTTAGTGCGATTTAGAAGAGCAATACACTGTTGATCAAAATTTTCAGAGTGATTGCTGTATTCAATAATTATATGAATGAATTGATATTTACACTTTTTCAACAAAATAATAGACAAACCAGATATATTTAGTATTTTGTCTTATGGTAAGTTATAAAAACTTACTGATATCTGTAAAATACTCGACTTCATCTATGAGAATTGAGATTTCGCAACTTTTGAAGTGCTTGCGGTATAATTTTGAAATCTTAAATCGATCCATTTCACACTTTAATGAATTTTAATAATTAAACCTAATATATTTTAGTATGTTTGTTTGTTTTTAGTAAGACCATGATTTCTATCATCCAAAAGGTTTTTAAATTCTCAAAATCGGTTATAGATTTTTTGCGAAAACGTGGATTTAAACTTTTTTTCCAAATTCTTTAGGAACGGTTCGACTAATCGTAAAACTTGATTGTTATTGAGTTATATCAAATGGCTTTTGAAATTTTGAAATTGGTTCAGCCGTTTTTGGGAGAACGTCGAAAAAAGGTTAAATTTTGGCAAAAATGCATACACGTACTATGTTCCAATTTTAGTGTAAAACGATTCAGAATGACTCAAAGTTGAAAATAATCTTCAAAAATTTTTTATAGTCAAAATATATACCAATATACTTTGTCAGAAAGTCTGAAATTAAAAGTATTTCTATGTCATTTTATTTGCTTTTGATTAATTTATTTTAAATTAAGATTTTTTTTTGTATTTTGTTCAAGTTCTTTAATTTTAAAATCTGGACTATAATATATATTTCAGCAATAGCAAATGTTTGTCTGTTATTTCTAAAAGGCTTTAGAATCGAATCTAGACAGGAAACATAAATAGGTTATATCCGCATGCATTTGCATGGCATTCTTCATAAAGTCAGTTTTTAACCTAGTATTAATTATCTATTTATGATTAACTGCACGGTCATTGTATGCATACATGTACCATATAAAATAATTAAATGAGAGAAAAATGCTATTCTCTTCCTAGTTTGCATTCAATTCTGTGTTTTCTGACCGATTCTCTACATAAGGCAAATGACGATGATAACCATTATGCATTTTTTCTTTATCCATTAACAACTAACCCTTTTCTGTGCATTATTGATATATTTGCAAGTATAATATATAAACATATATAATGAAACTCGTATTCGTAGAGACTTATGAAAAAACTACAAGATATCTCTAAAATATTCATACGATCTCTATAATATAGAGTCTTTATTAATTAATAATTTAATAATAAAATATTTTTTGTAAAATTACAAAAAGTCTTACCATCATAATCCTGACTCCTGACGTGGACAAACTGTAACAAAAATAAATTTCAATTAATAAATATTAAAATATTAATTAAGCTTTAGAAATATAATATGCTAACGATTGGTCCAGAATGGACTCCCAAACTACTAAACCGATTTTAAACTTGAATGACTAATCTAAACTAATAAGTGGAAGTGTATCTTGTATAAAATATTTTAAAATTATGGCTACAAAATTTTTGAAATTGATTTATTATTCCAAAATTTACATTTTTCTAAATAAACCACTTTTAGAAGACCTGTTATGTCCTTAGATGTTTTTAGTAGTCAAAGTTTCGTCAAATTCATTACAAAAGATTTTTGTACAATTAATCAAGAAAAAATGAGTAGATCTTTACCACAAATTAATCAACCCAACTGATATCTTTTGAATTCTTAAAATCGGTACAGGTGGTCTTAGAATATATTAACAAAAGATAAATTTTTGGAATAGTATAGGCCTATGAGAAGTGGTTGAATTACAAAAATGTATAAACTCATACACATACACACGCTTCTTTTTTACAATTTAGTTGCCAAGCGATTCAAACTAACTTAAAAATTACGAGAAAACAAAAATTTAGCAAAGGAGTTTGACGGAATATTATTTGGGGGCGAGGGTCTAGTAAGATATTATGTGTATCAATGTATCAATTTAAAAAAAATCGAAAAAAATCAAAAATTTACGATATTTTTATAGATACTAAAAATATATGTGATGTTGTGTGGGAAACGGCGGGTAACATTAAATATCGTATCATCAAGGGAGGGCCAAAAATCTTTACAAATCACTCACGTGATTAATAATTTAAACTGTATAATTTAATCAGCTTTATAATTTCTTAGTTTTTATATGCGTTTATTTATATTTATATTCATTACATCCTTTAATAAACTAAGAAGATCTCATTGGAATTTTTTTTATATATCGCGCTTTTTAATATTGTCAATTTAGCTCATAGAAATCTGCATGGATTTCTGATTGCTAAGTGAAATAAAACAGAGTTATATAAAAAAAATAAAAAAAAAATTATGCCTTTAAAATTTATTTGATTTAAATTTAAAGTTCAAATATTTATAATATATATAAATAATATAAAACAATTATATATAAAGTAGAAAAAATATTTAATATCTTGCATAATTAAATATAATTTTTACATGATGCATTATTGTCTTAAAATAACTTATGTTGAATTTATATCTAAAAATATAGCCTTCAATAGCTGAAGGGTATTTGTGTATCCATATCATGGAGGTGTTGCGTGTAATAATTAGGTCAGAGTAATATTATTAATTCACTTACAACTTATGCATGTGAACTGCATTTATTAACTTACTATAAATTACAATACATGTGCTTTTAAAATGCTTTCGAATCATATATATATATATATATATATATGTATATATATATATATATATACAGGGCCGGTCCTGGGGTCCTCAGCGCCCGCATGCAAGATTTGTTCTAGCGCCGCCCCCCCAATAATTTTAACTGTTTTAACATTTATCATTAAAATTATATGAATATTTACGTAAATTCACACAAAAAATTAGAAATAATCTAAAAGCGTATAAAATACATTGATTTTAATTTTATTTAGAAAATCGAAGCGATTTGCGGGTTGACCATAATTAAATATTTTATATTTTCAAGTATTTCTAACATATATGTAATATTAATATTTAGGTTTTGAAACATTTCACTTATTTAATTAAACTTATTTTTATTTTTAAACATAACATTCATTTTTCAGGTTAGATTTTTTAAATTTTATTTTAATTTTTTTTTGATTATTTACAATATCCAAAATTACATCAGTAACTTATTAATATTGTTAATATTGTAAAGCCAAATTGTATTCATGTTTACTTTCCCATCTGATTCAGAATATCAGATTGTTGTTTTAAAGTTAAATTTTTAACGTATTTTAAAAGATGCAAAGAAATTACACATTTCCTGAACTATATCAAAAACAAAATTAATTAATATTGTAAAGCCAAATTGTATTTATGTTTACTTTCCTATCTGATTCAGAATATCAGATCGTTGTTTTAAAGTTAAATTTTTAATGTATTTTAAAAGATGCAAAGAAATTACACATTTCCTGAACTATATCGAAAACAAAACACAATTATATTTGTATCTCTATTATTTCTGCTTAGTTAATAATTAAATTTAGTATGGACACAACTAGGTATAAAAAAGCTCACGAGTTTTGTTTCTAAGTACATTTTGCTTCCATTTTTCATATTTGCTCCATTCCCATAAACCTAACCACGCATGTCTTCAAAGTTCAAAGTTAATCAGATGCGAAACATTTTCAACAAATACAAAAGTTACAATTAAGTTTCTCGGTCTTATAGTCATTTTCTATGCACTTACTTCCCATTTTCCATTTTATTTCTAATTTTATTTCCCAATCTCGTTTTGGCGCCCCCTAAGACGTGCGCCCGCATTTTTTGCATGCATCGCATGCAAGGCAGGACCGGCCCTGTATATATATATATATATATATATATATATATATATATATAATATAAGTCCATCATCCATTGTCAGTCGCGCCGATCAAACTCCTGGAAAATTTATCTAGTCGTGCGCAATTGAAGATCCGATCGCTACTACTACCTAAGTTGCGGTATTCGATACAATGTTCCGACACAATGAGCACATTTTTTTATATACTTTCTTATCGCTTACATTATCATTTTTATACCATGTAACTTTTTTGTAGCTCACTGAACTATGGTGAACTTTTCTGAGCAATATGAATTAGAAATGTTATTTGAACAATGATTTGATATCAAGCAGTCAAATCAGAATTGCACTTGAACACAAAATTAGCATATCGAAGATTCTGAGGAAAGCAGTAAGCTTCTCCTTCGGGGATATAATGACGAGTTTCTAAAAGTATTATTTGTTTGAATTATTTACTTCCCGCAGGGTAAATTATAGTAATCGTGAAAAATCGAAAATAAAAACGTTTCAAAGGTTTCTGAACATTTTGGCATACCTTATAAAAAGTGGATGTATGTGTATGTGTGTGAGTGGCGGATACAAATTTCCGTCGACGATTTTGGGAACACGGATTTACCGATTTGAATCATTCAAAAAACATTCAATTCGCAATAATAAGGAGACGTGCTGATTAGTTTTTGGTGAAGGCAGGTCAAACCGTTTCGAAGATACGAGAGAAAAAGTTCCAAAAATGGTAACTCAGGTTTTGAGAGAACTTAGCATCCTATTTGAATAATTCAAAAAACATTTTGTCTATTGACCAAATAAAGTTTCGTTTTTTTGCGAAGGCAGGTCTAGCGATTTTAGAGATTGAGTGAAAGAAGTAAAAAAATGCCATTTGGCGGTCAAACATGATTATTAGACATAGGTACATCCAATTATCAAATATTTCGTGATCTAATAAGTTATATGATAAATAGCATTTTTTTATTTTATTAATATCGTAGATATATATTTTTTTATATTATTGATTTTTATAAATTATATTTATTTATATTGCCGGCTTTTGTGAGTTTTTTTTGTTCGACATTGAAACATTTCTGGATTTATAACAACAATTTGTTTTAAAAATTGAGACATTCTTCAATCAGCCGTCTCTGCGTATTGTTTGTGGAAAAACAGATCGCAGAATAAAAAAAAAATTAAAAATCGTACAATTCTTTTAGGAGTAAAAAACAGAATGGGTGTAAAAAACTTTGATTTCTTTTTTTTTCATTTCAGTAGACATCGACCTTGCTATGTTTTGACTATCATCAGGATTATAAACACAAATCTTTGTTGGAATATATAAATTTGAGTAAGATTGCAATTTCTGTAAAATATTCCGAAATGATAACACATGATATTCATTTATGAACAAATTGATAAAATTCTAATTATTTTTTTGTAATAAAAATGACGTTATTTCCGTGTTATTTTAATATAACATAACTGTAGATAATACTTCAATCGATATCGTGAAAGCATATTACAAGTTCTGATTATTGTGACGCAAAGTACAAATCATCAGATATCTTTGGCGTAATTTCTAATAATAATTTTATATGACTGCACAATTTAATTTAATTTTTAAAAAATTGAAAAGGCTTGTGAATTATGGAATTAAAGTTACTTTAATTCTATAATTTACAAAACTACTGAATGTTGTTTATGTTAAGACGAAGACGTATATAATGTGTATGTGACGAAGACGTATATAATGATATATTCTAATAATACATATTTCCTAATAATAAAGAATTGTGTTAATAGATAGCAAATAAGCATGTAATTACCATGGTAATTGCAATGTAAGTGTAAATAAATATTGATGGCAAAAATAAAGGCATAAAACCGCAGAACAAATTTGTAGAAAAGCTTTAAAATATACACATGCAAAATATTGAAATATGAATAATTCGACCAAAAATCAATAAAGTTAAATAAAATACTGAAATGTTGGATTATAAAAAATAGCCCAAATACATTATTAACCTTATTGAATCTGCCTAATAATATTTTTGTAGATTTCTTTAATGTCATAAAAATTCCATATGATTTGATAGCTATATAATATGTATCGATTGAAATTATTATCTTGTCTATCAAAAATATCATCGACATTAACGAGTATTGAAATGGAGTCAATTTCTTGTTTGACTTCTTGAATGAAGTTTTATTGTTATCACTTCAATTGTATCGTGATATGAGATGATACATCTTTTGCTACTATTCGTGAACCGTTACAAAAATATATCGACATAATATTTCTTACTTTTGTAATTCAATTTATTTTTGTGTAAGCTTTTTTTCTCATTTTATGACTTTTAACCTGTATCCATGTATCACATACCACTTCATTTTTACATACTTTTTATACCCTGTTTTTTGGAATGCTCTAAATAAACTTTTTGATATTGTAACGACAATAGGCATTGTCGCCAATAACTAAAAATTAGTAATTAATAAAATTAGTAAGGTCCAAGTTGGGAGTAAAAAATGACA